TTATGATGGCCTGATAAAACCCAGTACCACGAACATACATCGATTTTTTTAAGAGGAGGGAGGGAATTTCCCTTTGGCTGGTGTCCCCGAGGACGCTAGAGGGCAGCCGCCACCCACCCAGCAGCCTGAGCCCACGGAGACTCAGCCACTGCGTTGAGAAGGGAAACCCCTACAGCTTGTGGGAGGTGGCTGAGGGCGCGCGGATTGATGAGCTCAGCCAGGTGGCAGGGTGGGGGTGGGGGTACTACCCTAGGCTTCCCGGAGTATCCGGGAAGTGGAAATCGAGGGAGTATTTGGTTCTGAGGTGGTAGTGCTTCAAATGATATGCAATGTCAGTCCCTGTTGGAGCTGGAAGCTGGGATGACCTGAAAGTTGTACTGCGTCTAGGCCTGACTCTGAACTGATGGAGGGGACCCGACTTGGTACCCTTCAATTAGAAGAGGCCAGAGGCCATGGGGATGGAGGACAGAGGATGGAGGTGCAAGGTGCATAGGGCTGTGCTCAGAGCGCCCTGCCCAGGACCTTCCTCCTGCCACTTGCCTTTCCTCATTACAGTTCCTCTACTGGTGTGGTGCACCCTAACTCATCCAGACCCAAGGTCAATCCATAGGCATAGGTTAACTTGACTGTGTGCCGGGTACATATGCACCAAGATCTGTTCTCTTGAGCCCATGAATGGCCGAGGCCTGATGAGACTAACCTAAATCACACAGGTGAGCCATGGGATTCGGACAAACTACACTACCCCCTGGAGCCCAAAGGCAGGGAAATCGCCCATGTTCTGGTCATACTTTTAGGAGACAATGTGTCTGTTTCAGAGCTAAACTAGACAGAGCCAGCTATAGCCTTGCCACAGCCAATTTTGCCCACTATTTCCAACCTGCGCTGAAATTATCTGTGGTGAGGATATTCATCACATGGAAATGCAAAGATTTAGAGACGTTTGGTGGGGTTATTATCGCTGTTGCTTATTGGTTTGCTTCGATTGGTTGGCTCTTTTGGTTTTGAGTTAAATATTTACCAACACAGCAGTATATCTATCCTGGTGCAGATTAGCGACACTCACTAAGGAGCTGCGGGCCAAGACTGAGAGCAGAAAATCCACGAGTTGATGTGCTGTCCAAATCCATTAACATCTGGGAGCACTGGGGCATTGTACATACTCATGCATGCGCGCACACACACACATATGCACACATACACTCACACTCACGTACACATACAGACGCATGCGCACGCACGTACACATATACACACAATGGAAAAAACCACAACTAGAAGCAGCCCCTCCCTCTTCAAAGGCCTTGTCCCTCCAGTGCCTGTCACCTGACACCATCTCTCCAGCCCCTTGGTCCTGGTTTTGTTTGCTTGTTTGTAATTGTCACCTCTGGCTGAGATTTTAGGGCTGTTAATGGCAACTGTCTACAACTCAGTTTTTGCAAGTGTTTTAGTGACCACCACCACCACCACCACCCCCACCCCCCCACCTCACCCCCCCCCACCCCCGTCTCAGGCATGTACCTAACATTCTAAATCAAGAACGCTTTGGGGGCTGGAGAGATGGCTCAGCAGTTAAGAGAACTGACTGCTCTCCCAGAGGACTGAGGTTCAGTTACCAGCACCTACCTACATGACTGACAACTGTATGTAACTCCAGTTCTAAGAGATACACCTCCCTCTTCTGGTCTCTGTGGGCACTGCATACACACACACACACAGAGAGAGAGAGAGAGAGAGAGAGAGAGAGAGAGAGAGAGAGAGAGAGAGCGCAGATATAGGACAGAGTGAACAGCATACTCAGAGCCACGCGCTAACAGTAAGGCATGGCAGCACACTTGGAGAAAGGCAAAACAAAGTGGGAATGAAACTGGTACAGAGCCATACTGGGATCATCGTAAAACACAATGAAGTTTAGAATAATACACAAAAGAAAGAAAGGCATATCAAGAAAAGACATACTTTATTTGCTTAGAATGTTAGGAAAGGGAGAAAGCAGACATTAACATACCTTCAAAGATTCTGCAGGATTTCTCTGGGTACTTAAGTGGGGCTTTCAGACTCACTATGAAGTCTATTTTAATTCTTGAAAGTGGGTCTTAAGATACTTCATGACTTGTCTTTGGCAGGATTCTCCTTACATAGAACTATGACTGCTAGCAAGAGTTATGGTGGGATGTTGACACCAAGGTAAGTTGAAGAAGGAGGAAAGCAAACCAGGAAAAGTGAGAAATCGTCCTAAGACAATCAGGTGATAGGTAGAGGAATCAATACGTGAGGTCAGAGGATGTAGGTATGATACATATATGACTATTGTATCTGCCAGAATTCCTCTCAGGACAGCACACACAGATTCTTTCGAGAACTGAGGCTTTCCTCTCCTCTTCTGAGCATGCTCATGCACAATAAAAACTTGTCACTAACATTCAAGAGAACAGACTAAGTAGATGGACTTTTCTTCTGCTAAGCAGTGATGGGTTTAAGGTAGTTGAGGAGTTGAGAATGGAGTCCAATTTGTGCTTGCCTATCATGCACAAAGCCCTGAGTTATAACTCCAGCACCTCATAAACTGGGTGTATGACAATGTGGAGGCAGGAGGTTCAGGTGTTCAAGGTCACCCTCAGCTACAAATGGAGTTCCTGGTCAGCCTGGGCTATTTGAGACAGAAAGAACAAAAGAATAGAAGAAGGGAGGGAAGAAGGGAGAAAGGGAAGAAGGGAGGGAGGAAGGGAAGGAGGAAGGGAGGGAGGGAGGGAGGGAGGGAGGGAGAAGCAGGAGAAAGTAACTGTGCTGAAGTTGAGTGGAAGGATTGGTTATCTGGGAAAACCAAGAACCAAAACAACGGTAAGGAAAAGCCAAACTAAGCCCTGGAAAGGGTCAGGCAAGGTGGTGCACTCCTCTAATCCCAGCACTCAGGAGGCAAAGGCCAGTGGATCTGAGTTTGAGATCAGCCAGATCTAAACAGCAAATTCCAGGACAAGCCAGGGCAGCATAGAGAGATTCTGTCTTAAACCAAACAAAAACCCTGCACTGTAGGTTTCACCAAGAAGGGTCTTCTGAGAACAAAATCTAAAAGGTTCATACTACGCCCTTTGGGGAGTCTGAAGAGTATCTTTTTAAGACAAGGTTTACACTTGGCTTTTTTTATTATTAATTTTTATTGTAGTTATTCAATCATATCATAACTGAGTTTTACTAGGTGCTGGTTCTATGTGAGGACCGACAAGGGATTAATTTGGAAGGGAAATGTGGGAACACAAGAATCATAAGTTAAAGAAGTAGATGATGTCTTGGTGATGGTGTTGGCACAGCTCACATTGAGCTTGAGCAAAGAATCAGAAAGGAACGAGACCACACTGCACTGGTAACCACCATAGGGAAGCAGCCAGAGCTCTTCTCCTGCCAGGGTCTGACAGCAGAGCAGGAGCTACCCGCAAAGCTGTAGGATGGAGTGAGCAGCTGCTTACTTTACCACTTTTCTCTCGAGCCAAGTGCGTAAACCCGAGCAAGACTGCTCTGCAGAACTGGGCTGTGATGAGTCACATTCGCAAAAACATGGTTTAAAATCTTTACATTCAAATCTGGTAATTCTAAAGTGTGCAAAGGGCTTAAAATTAGGCAGTAGTGAATGAGCCTATCTCACACAGCACAGTGGCTAATAGACCACTGGAGTCTTGTCACTAGACTTAATACGATCATTTGTGAATCACTTAACATTTATTGTCCCACCCAAACTCATTCATCATTTAAATTGGCTCAAGAATACTTGCACTGAGGAAAATTGTGCAACTCTGATTTACTAAAAATCACTCAACACCACGAACTTGATGATATGTAAACTGTATCTAAGTATTGTGGGGAAAAAAATGTAAGCAGAGAGCACACCACCCAGCATGTAATTAATAGTAAATACAGATGGACACTCGTCAGCATTCTGTTTCTGCATGGGGAGTGGGGTTAGGGCCATGGTGGTGGAGTGCTTGCCTGGCATCCACACAAAGCCTTGGGTTACTTAAACTCAAGTACTGAAAAAAATTAGTGACTAGTATATTTTCTTAGAGGCTGGCTGAAACTTGAGAGATCATTTCACTCAACACCCCTCATTTTGCAGGTGAAACCAGGACCTCAAGGGCCTCCTTGAAGGGATAGTTCTCCGATGAGAATCCAAGCCTGCTAGATTTTCTTTAGTGAAATTTCTGTCCCTACTACCTGCCTCAAACATGGAAACATGAAAGTGGAAGACACAGAAGACATGTAGCGATGTTGAAAAAAGAATTCTATGGCCATCAGACAAGCCAAGAAGAGGCTGTCACATCTCCATCTAGTATCAGGCCCCCCATCTGGGTGGTCATGAGAGTTCAAATGTTGGAAAAGCCAGGCCTGGTTAGGCAGGTTATCCAGCTCATCGCACAGCCAGGTGCCTGGCAGTGAAAGGCCACACAATCCTGGTCACTACTTCCTGACAGGATGATGGTGGCAGCAGGATTTGAGACCACGTGCATGTGGCAGACTCTGTTTGCACAGCTTAGGACTGGATAGCTGCTGATGAGACCCTCTTGTCCATCTCAGTAACCAGACTTCAAACTCTCTCTGGTTCTTTCCCCAGGGTTTCACTTACCTCCTGTAAACTGTTTCCTTTTCATGGAACCCTCTTGAAAGAAACAAGGAAGCCTAGCAGGAGATGTGGAACGGTGCAAGCTTCCTGCTTTTTTCATTAATGTTGCCATGTTCAAGGGAAGTTGATAACATGGCTGGAAGATTTTAAGGCTTAAAAAAGGGGGACAGGGCTTACTAAAGTATTCCAAGACTTCACAGTGGACCACAGAATAGGCCACCAATTCCTAACATCTCAGGAGACAATGAGTCAGCTCTGTGGTTCTTAGGAGTGGTGAGTCCTGTCCCCACTTTTCACAAAGAGCAACTATTTGGGCTAGACATGGGTGCAGATCCCAGTGGAGAGGGAAGGAAGGAAGGAAAGGACAGAGGAGAATTAAGGCCTGAAACAACTTTTATGACTTAATTCAGAACACGAAAACTTCTCAATAAATAGTTCATAAAACTGCCTCATCACTGTCAGCCAGCTACCAAAACAAATGCAGTGGATGGGCAAGGGAGGTCCTGTCCTTTCATTTGATCCAAGAACCTGGGTACAGATTATGAGCAAATGAAGAAATCTGACTTCAGCCTTTCCACAACAATCCTTCCTGGTTTGCAGGTCATTCGATACAGTGAACACTCTGATGTCGGAGGAGGTGAGAGCTCCGACTGAAGGTCTTCTGGCATTCCTGACACTCATACGGCTTTTCTCCAGTGTGAATTCTCTGGTGGATGGTAAGTTGGGAGTGCTGGCTGAATGTTTTCTCACACTCGCTACACTCATAAGGTTTCTCTCCGACATGAATCTTCTGGTGAAGCAGCAGCTCAGAGTTATCCCAAAAAGTCCTTGCACACTCGTTACACTGATGGGGTTTCTCCCCAGTGTGTATTCTCTGGTGGACAACCAGGTGAGAAGTCCGCCTGAAAGCCTTCCCACACTCGAAGCATTCATAAGGTTTCTCTCCAGTGTGAATCCTCTCATGTCTAAGAAGTTCTGAATTACCCCTAAAGGCCTTTCCACATTCTTTACATATATAGGGCTTCTCCCCAGTATGAATTCTAGTATGTCTAATAATCTCTGAGTTCTGGCCAAAAGTTTTCCCACATTCATTGCACTCATAGGGTTTGTCCCCTGTATGAATTCTTTGATGACGGATAAGCTCAGAACTCTGCCCGAAGCCTTTCCCACATTCGTTACACAGATAAGGCTTTTCTCCAGTGTGGATTTTCTGGTGTCTGATAAGGCCCGAGCTGTGCTTGAAGGCCTTGCCACACTCATTGCATTCATGGTATCTCTCTTCAGTATGAATCCTCTGGTGCTGAATAAGCTGTGAGCTAACCCTAAAGGTCTTCCCACACTCATTACATTCGTAAGGTTTCTCTCCAGTGTGGATTCTCTGGTGCAGAATGAGGGCTGAATTCTGGCTGAAGGCTTTCCCACACTCTTCACATTTGTAAGGTCTTTCTCCCGTATGAATTCTATGATGGTGGATAAGGTGTGAGCTCTGAATGAAGGCCTTCCCACACTCGTTACAAGCAAAGGGCTTCTCTCCAGCATGAATTCTCAAGTGCCTTCTAAGGCTGGAGTTAGTTCCAAATGTCTTTCCACATTCTTTGCATTCAAAGGGTTTTTCTCCACTATGAACTCTCATATGCTGGATGAGGTGTGAGTTCTGGTTAAAAGCTTTTCCACACTCTTTACATGTGTGAGGCTTTTCTCCCACAGACGTCCTCTGTGCTTTATGAAGCTGTACACTCTCCATGAAGCTCTGGCCAGAAGCAGCAAACGCACTAGCCCTCTCTGCTGGAGTGGGCTCCAGCATATCTCCATGGCATACCACCACACTTGGGTGGGGACCACAGCCTCCATCGTGCCCACTGTTACCCTGCTCTTTCCCACCTAAGGATGACTTCTTGAAGATAATTAACCCTGATGCAAAGTCTCTGTCCTGAGGAGACACCTGCTCTATAAGCTCTTCCGAGGACTCTCTCAAACATCCCTCTAGTATGTCTTCATCACTTGCTGCTCCAAACTCATGAACTTGGTAAACCTCCTGTGAAAGTTTCTCTAATGTTGGCCCCTGTGGCTCGGATCCTGCAGGAATTTCTTCCTTGGGAAGCACCTCCTTTTTCTCAGTCCCCATGTTACAACCTGAAATGAGAGAGGGTAAGCATGTGAAGTTGCTGTGTCCTGTCTAAATGACACTACATGGTGGACATGCTAAACAGCTGACACTGACTTTAAAAAGTGAGAGAAAACATCTGAAGCAGAATTTTAAAGACAGAAAAAGGAAATGTATGGTAAAGAGAGGCTGGCAGAAGTTGTATGACACTAAGTGAGTTAGGGCAAAACTCAAAAGTTGCCAAAGAAAACATTTGTGGAAACTAATGGCCATATTAATAAAAGAGTATATGGAAAGGGGTAATAAAAAAGCAGTGCAAGCTAACAGAAACAACCTCTGAGTGTAAGAGGAATTAGGCACATAAGAGGATATATTCTTAGTTCAGTTCTGCATTACCCAACAGCCCTACAGAGCAAGCTGCAGTGAAGATGGGTCACCTATGCAAAGGGTTGACGTGACTTAGCTATAAACAGCACAAGGTAACTTCTTCACCCTTCACATCTGGATGAAGAGAAGGTCATCTTTTATTTCCCCCAAGTGACAAATGAACTGTATCAATACCATTGACTGAGTAATTATTTTTCCTACAAATGTAAAATATCATACGGATCCCACTCAACTCTGCTGGTCTATTTTTTTCTCCAGCATCAAATTGATCAACCTTTTGAAGCTTGGTTAAAAGAGACAGACATGGTGGCAGGTACATGTGATCAGCACTCTGGAGACTAAGACAGATGAATCATTGCTGGAAGTCAGCTGAGGCTATGCTGTGAGATAATAACCAGAGCCAGCCAAGGCTAGTCTGTGAGATAATAACCAAAGTCAGCCGAGGCTATGCTGTGAAATATAATAATTAAAAAGACATTTTAAATGTTGTTGAGGTTTTCAGAAGTCTTCCTTTTTCTGATATTTATTATCTATTCCACAAATATTTTTCCAAATAAATTTTAGTGTAATTTAATAAAATATCCAAACTTGCCAGGCACTTGGGAAGCAGAGGAAGGCAGATCTTTTTAAGTTTGAGGCCAGCCTGGTCTACCAAGCAAGTTCCAGGACAGCCAAGGCCACACAGAGAAACTCTGTCTCTAAAAACCATGTATGTATGGTGTGTATGTGTATGTATATGTATATGTGTATGTGTATGTGTATGTATATGTACATGTATATGTATATGTATACTCAAACTTACCCTGACATTGGTGTTATATTCATCTTGCTTCTGTCTTTTCATTTACTCAGATGTTCTATATGGGGCAATACTGCATATCTCTACATATTAATTTTATGATCCGCTCTCTTTTGTACACTTTTCTTTCTTTCTTTTTGTTTTTTGTTGTTGTTGTTGTTTTTGTTTTTTTGAGACAGGGTCTCTCTGTGACTTTGGAGGCTGTCCTGGAGCTAGTTCTTATAGACCAGGCTGGACATGAACTCACAGAGATCCGCCTGACTCTGCTTCCCAAGTCCTGGGACTAAAACCATGTGCCACCAATGGCAGGCTTGTACACTTTTCTTAACACTGAATAAATTTGGGGAGTGTTGAGGAGAGTTGAAATAGGGTCTCACTAAGTAGTCCTGGCTATCCTGGAACTTGCTCTGTAGACCAGGCTAGACTCAAAATCACAGAGATCCACCTGTCTCTGTCTCCTGAGTGCTTGGAGTAAAGGCATGCACCACCACTCCTGGCTCAACACAGGTCAAATCTTGAATCTTTTTTTAAAATATAAATATATTTTAATATTCTTACATACAGATCCCAGTTCCTTCTCCCTCCCTCCCATGCCCCCCAATACCCCTCTCATCCCATTCCCCACCCACTCCACATATAAGGTGAGGCCTTCCAGGAGGGATCATCAAAATCTGTCAAGTCATTTGGAGTAGGGTCTAAGCCCTCCCTCCTGTCTCTAGGCTAAGGGAGTATCCTTCCATGGGGAATGTGCTCCCAAAGTCCTTTCATGCACCAGGGGTACATCCTGGTTCCACTGTCAGAGGTCCCGTAGACTGCCTAGGCTTTCTACCTGAGACCCATGTTCAGGGGGTCTGGGTCAGTCCAATGCTGGTTTCCCAGCTATCAGTCTAGGGTTCCATGAGCTCCCCCTTGTTCAGGTCAGCTGACTCTGTGGGTTTCTGTAGCCTGGTCTTGACCAGGCTTATCACTTGCTTATCACTCCTCCCTCTCTGCAACTAGATTCCAGGAGTTTGGCTCAGTGTTTAGCTATGGGTGTCTGCTTGTTTCCATCAGCTACTATATGAAGGCATTAGGATGGCATATAAGTTAGTTATCAATCTCATTATCAGGGAAGGGCATTTATGGTAGCCTCTACACTGTTGCTCAGATTGTTAGTTGGGGGTCATCCTTGTAGGTCTCTGGATATTTCTCTAGAGTCAGTTTTCTCTTCAAACCTATAATGGCTCCCTCTATTATTGTATCTCTTTCCTTGCTCTCATCTATTCATCCCCCGCCTCAATCTTCCTGGTCCCACATAGTCTCCTTTCCTCCCCTTCTCTTTCTCCTAACTCCCTCTCCACTCACTGCCCCACCCCACCCCCAGGTGCCAATATGCTCAGATCTGTCCCTTTCCCCTTTTGTGAGGGACCTTAAATCTTGACTCTTAAAGCATACTTTTTTTTAAGCTTCTAAAAACCAGTAGCAAATGTTTTTAGTTGCCAGCCACTTATCTCCTTTCCCCCCACTTCACAACATAATAATGTTGTGATTGTGTGTGTGTGTGTGTGTGTGTGTGTGTGTGTCTGCACCCATGTTTTCCTCGGCTTTCTTCACATAATTAGTCATTCGACCAAACTCTGGCCAATAAAATGGTGATGTGCAAAGGAAAACAGCATTACTAGGAAATCACTATTTCTGGAGCATGATATGATAGTTAGAGCATCACCTTTGTTATGAATACACCAGGATACTCTAAGGCTGGGAATCTGAGCTGGGGTCTCTGACTACTTTGTAGACCAAGCCCACAATGCCTGCCTCTGAACTTCTTTATGCAATACAGAATAAGTTAATGCCTTTGCTAAGGCATTATGGCTCTTTTTAAAAATGTATTATTGCCAGGCATAGTGAAACATGCCTCTAATCCCATCACTCAAGACACAGGGGCTCTGAAGCCAGCCTAGTCTACATAGTGAGTTCCAGGACTACATAGAGAGCCTGCTTCAAAAAATAAATTATACTCAGGCATAGTGATGCACGTCTGTAATCCTAGTACTCTAAGGCAGAAGTAGAAAATCCTGAGTTTGAGCCTAGATTGGACATAGTGAAACTCTGTGTCAGAAAAAAAAAATGTATAGGTACATTATTATATGAAGTCATAATACAATAGTCCTGGGAATTTCACTGTCCCTGCCACAGAAGTGAATCCCAAATGACAAGTCAGCCGGCAAACAATGTAGAAATAATCCTAAAATGGCTCTTCCATTAGGTTAGAGCACTTACTCATTTCAGCAAACGAGCATCAATGAAAACACAAACTGTAGAAGGTGACATTTAGGGGGCAATTACAGATTGGAACCCTTTTAAAAAGTGGACTTGTGTAAAGATTTGAAGTGGAGGAGTGGCATAGTCTCTGTTCAAAACAGAATGTTAGGTAGATGCACAGTAGTGGTCCTTTAGTGACTGCACTAGAAACAGGAGATGTGATGGTTAGAAGGCTAGCCGTCCAGACTAAAAGAAGTGAGATCTGGGGCAATGGTGGTGGAGGAATGAAAAGAAAAGGACTGGAGTAACACTAAGTGTGTGATGATAATAAATGTAAGTAAGAGCCAGGCTGGAGCGAATGCTCAGTGATTAAGAACACTTGAGATTTCAGTTCCTAGCACCACAGGATGGTTCACAACCATCTATAACTCTACTGGTCTCCTCGGGAACCAGGTATACACATGATACACATGCATACAAATAAGCACTTGTACTTTTAAAAAACTAAATATTAAAACAAAACAAAAAAAACAGAAAACAAAAGACATAAGAATCAAAGACGATGTCAGATCACATTTAATTTGAGTGATGATAATTAGATGGATAATGATACACCAAGATTTGGAATACTAAAGGGATAGCTAGTATAAGCAGGAAGATGGTGAATGAGCTCTGTTTTGGACAAAATAGGTTTTGAGATAGCCATATAGAGGTAGTTTTCATATTGGTCTAAAAGCTTAAAATAGTCCATATTAGACACAGATTTGAGAGAACTCAGCATGAATATAGCATGAAAACTATCACAGACTGGACAGCAATCTAGAATCTGAAATTAATGGTAAGGAGAACTGTTATGGTATTAATTCTACTTCCCTCAACCCCTTGAGGTCTTCCTACCTTTTTCCACCCTGTTCTCTGGCCAAGAACACTAACTTGTACAGCACACACCAAGACCTCTAGCTTCCAGATGCTTCTACCAATAAGGACACCCAACAGAAGACAGGAGAGGGGATGACCAGGGAATTTATTCTCCTGGTTCCTTCCTGGGACACTGCCTCAAGCTATTGGTGCTCCTCAATCAAAAGTCCTCTTAAAGAATCTATTCTACACAATCCTTCAGTACTTTGCCCAGCCTGTCACAAACAATTGGCTACTAAACCTTCCTCAAATTAACATAACTTGAATAGAATAGATTGTTTCTGATTCAACCTCTGAAAACAAAAGGGTAAGTGGAGAAGAGAAATCAGCCACCAGAGTAAAAAATGGTTTGTGAAGAGCCACAGTAATAATGTCACACACAGAAGTCACCAAGGCAGTGGCAGAAGGAACGGAAAAGTATCTAACGTCCCCAGGTATGGTGGCATATGCTAGGAATCCCAGTTACTCTGAAAGCCAGCCTGAGCAATTTAACAAGCCCCACTCCCCCCTTGTTTCAAAACCAAAACCAAAACCTGGGACCATAGACCAGTGTCAGCATTTACCCAGCACACAAAAGGCCCCAGTGGGGGTTGATCTCAGAACCTCAAAACAAAATGAAAGATCCTGTAGTTTAAAAACTAGAAACTGGGTGAGTGGTGTTGGCACACACCTTTAATGCCAGCACTTGGGAGGCAGAGGCAGGCAGATCTCTGTGAGTTCGAGGCTACAGATGGAGTTCCAGGACAGCCAGTGCTGTTACATAGAAAAACCCTGTTTAGGAAAGGAAAGGAAAAAGAAAAGGAAAGAAAGCAAAACATAGTGACAGTGACCGAGAAATAGATTCCCTGCAAATATGAGGGTCATGGGTTTTCTCTGGTGACAGATTGAATATGTTCATATTAGAGGGTGGTACTAGTATAGAGACACAAGTTTAAGGGGTAAGAAAACTGGAGAACAATGAAAAATAAAGAACCCAAGTGACAGATGTGATGAGTCAGCTGACGCAGGAAGGAAACGTGGTTTTGCAGATGGCCTTTGTACTGCCCTTTTCTCTAACTAGCCTCCAGGGACACAAGACGCTGGTGACCACCACCACCTACCCTGGGGAGATACCCACCAGAAAAACTTGGTCTCACTAGAACCCTGAAGCTTTGGGAACTCTTTGTTATCTCCCTCTGAGTGAGCTAGACACACCTCCTTATTTTCCCAAAGAGCAAGGAAAGATCCCAAAGCTAGATTTTTTTTTCCTTTCTTGTTGAAATCTTTCAAAATTATAGATGGCTATCTCTTTTTTGAGGCAGAGTCTCACTATGTAACTCTGGCTGGCCTAGAATTCACTCTGCAGACTAAGTTGGCTTGCAATTTACAGAGCTCTGTCTGTCCCGCCTCCCAAGCACTGTGTCACCATGCCTAGCTGTTAGCTATCTTGTCCATCTATGGCATTATTTCATTTGGGAAGTACTGTCTTGCATAAGTTCCCTTCTAGTGTCATTAATGTCAGCACTTAAGAGGACAAGACATGCATCTGAGGCCAGTCGTGGTTACACGCTATGTCAAAAATAAACAAAGAAATAAAAGAATTATTTTCACAGATAAATGTCTTTCTAATACCCAGGCAAAAACAGGTTTCAGGAGCTAGTATTTCAGTGTCTATGTGTTTCCAAATCCTCTCCGATGGCCTTCTTCAAATCTTCATGTCTCCTACAGTTGCTTATCTTATAGTTTGGGTTTTGATGGTGCCCCCCGCCCCAAGTTCTAAAGATGGAACCCCAGACTCTACCATTAAGCTACACCTCCAGCCCTTCTGGGGGTTTTGTTTGTTTTTTGAGACAGGGTCTCAATATGTAGTCCCAGCTGGTCTAGAACTTGATATGTAAGCCAGGCTGGTGTGGAACTCACAAGGCTCTGCCTGCCTCTGCCTCTCAAGTGTTGGGCTTAAACAAATGTGCCATCATGCCCTGCTTCCTTTTTATTTTATTTTGAGACAAGCTCCCACTATGTTTCCAAAGTTGACCTCTAACTCCCAGTGCTGCTGCCTCCAATGTACCTGGGATTACAGACATGTGGTAGCATGCCCAGCTCATCATCTTCTAGTTGCTTTGTTTGTTTAAATAAAGGCAGAATGGTCTTTGCAATGCACTCTGGGAGAAAAAAATCTCAGAAAACCTCATTCAGAAAGTTCTGACACACATACCTATTAATGAACAGTGACTAGTAAAACTTAAAAGCACCACGTACTTTTAAGCCAGAGTGATGTGAATTCCATTACTCATCTGGCAAAAGGACCAGCTAGCTCCTCCTGAAGTCTTCACTAACATCTGCAGGAAGGAGTCCTTGGTCCTCTGAAGCCAGTTTTCCACTAGACCCTTTCTCACCTCTTTGAACCACAGTTCCCATGTCACTTCCTGTTTGTTGCTCCTCTCAAGGCCTCCAGAATGAAAGCTTCCTATGGCTCACAATGCTCTCATGATCAAACCTGTTTCCTTTTCCCACATCTGCCTCACATTCTCCAAAAACAACTGACAGCTGCAAATGTGAAGTGTCCTGCAGTCCAATCACCGTCCACTCTTTAAAATTTCTCTGCCTTTGAAAACAATTATCCTCACTTCCTGGAAAACCACTGCCCACCTGTGCACTTAACAAACATCTTCAAGATGCAGCTGAAATAGTACAGTCCCAATTGTTTGCTGCTCTGCAGGCCCTAACAAACATTAGTTCTTCGTGTAGCCATTATGCCACCGTATTATTTGTTTGCTTTCCTCTAGCACTGTGGTTCTCAACCTTCCTAATGCTCGACCCTTTAATACAGTTCTTCATGTTGTGGTGACCCCCCCAACCATAAAATTATTTTTATTACTACTTCATAGCTGTGATTTTGATGTTATGAATCATAATGTAAATATCTGTGTTTTCCAGTAGCATCAGATGACCCCCAAAATGTTGTGACCCTGCCCACAAGTTCAGAACCAGTGCTCTAGATCTTGAGCAAGGAGGGTGTTATTCATCTTGTCAATCTCAGCGATTAGCACATTTCTGATACCAGGTAAACATTAAGTCAAGTTTTGTGTGCTATCTGGGTAACAAATCTGCAGCTGTCTTCAGGGTTAACTGGACAGTGTTTGATATATAACTTATTATATACATGTATGTGTATATATATGTATATATGTATATGTATGTATATATATGTATATATACATAACAATTACTTATAAAAGTAAATTCTTTGCCTGGCATGATGGCACATACCTTTAATCCCAGCACTTGGGTGAAAGAGGCAGGTGGATCTCTTGAGAGTTTGAGGTCAACCTGGTTTACATAGTGAGTTCCAGACTAGTCAGAGCTAGGCAATGAGACCCTATCTCAAAATAAATAAATAAAAATAAAAAAACAAAGTTATTTCTCCGAAGACACTATCTTATCTTCATCCTCTGGTACCCAGGATCAAAGGAACTCTGTTAAGGCTGTGCTCAATTCCCTCTCTATTATTATTATTATTACTTTTAATTATATGTAGGCGTGTGTTTCTGCATATAGGCATGTGCACATGAGTGCAGGTGTCTGAGGGAGCCAACCCCCCAGAGTCAGAGTTATAAATGATATGAGGTGCCTGAATGAGTTCTGGGAACCAAATCAGGGTTGTCTGGAGGAGCAGCAAGTGTTCTTAACCGCTGACCCATCTTTCTTCACCCCCAATTTTGTCTTCTTTCTTTATAAGCCATTATCCTGTCTGCCAGCATTGGTCACAACATGCTGTGGGGGGCCTCGATTTTTGCTCGCCAAACGTTCTATCAGTGTAGTTAGGGAATGGAACACCAAAGAAAGAAAGGAAAAAAAAAAAAAAAAAAACTAGGTCCTAAGCATGCCCCATCGGACCCTGCTTCTCCAGTTTTCCTGACTGACAAGGCCTAGAAGGACAACTGGGGACGAGCCCTGACACTGCCCAGGTTCCACCCTCTCCGTGTGCAAGTGAGTAAGGGTGCCATAAAGTCCAAGGTCACACAGCAAAGCAGAGTCAGGGGCGGGCCTACGCTCAGGACTCTGGCTGGAGGCCTGGAGCCCGGCGCCCTCCTCCCCGGGGCTTGACAGAACCAGAGAGGCCTCACCGCTAGCGGATGCCACCCACGCTCACTCCGCTGGGCCCGGAGCGCTGCACCGCGGCGCGCACAGAACCGCAGCTGTTGTCTGGTGTCACGGGCGACCGACACCGGCCACTTCCGGTGCCGAGCCGCACCGCGGCCAATCCGCGCGGGCCGCACTCGTGGGAAGAACAGGTGGCCAGCGAGCCCACGCCCCCTTGCTCATTTCAGCTTCCCTGTTTGGCGCTCTCGCCCTAATTCACCCCATCTCTGCCCGGCTGGCGAGGGCCGGTCAGCTCCCTGGAATGTGCCAGTGCACCTCGCGATGCCCACGGTGCCCTAGACCACTGACGCGCGGGGTCCTCCGGGTTTCCTAGAACGGCTCCGGGGATGCACTTCCGCCCCGCAGCTGCCGCTCTGCGCGCCCGTGGCCTGGGAAACTTGACACTCCGCTTCTCTTCGCGTGGGGACGTGTTGAACGCCCCCGCATCTGTGCCATTTCACCTCTGTCTTCTCAAGAGTCTGTCAACCCAGGCCCTTAGAAGTAGGACAAGATACGCTTGTCATCTTCTAGGAACGAGGGGGAGACCTGCTTTGAAGTCAGGAAAGGCTTCAGGGAATGGTGCTTTGACAAAAATCTTAAGGTTGAGTGAGATTTACCTAGCTTGTTCGGGCAATGAGAATTTTATATGCTGGCCTTCCTCTCTTGAATAAATATGGACTCTTCTTACCTCAGAATGTGTGTGAATATGGATGTGGTGATCCTCCTGCCTCAGCCTTCCAAGTGCTGGAATGAGCAACTATGCCCAATGAAATAGACCTCTCTCTCTCTCTGTGTGTGTGTATGTGTGTGTGTGTGTGTGTGTTGTTGTTGTTGTTGTTGTTGTTGCTTTTGAGGCAGCGTCCTATTCTGTAACTCAGACAGGCCTTGAACTCAGACTTCTGGGAACAAAACCCAGCAATGTGTGCTAAAGAGGCCCTTCGGTGGTGTGTCATCGTCTCAGCCCGTCCCGCCCCCCACCCTCCACCAAACTTTCAAGTTTGGTTTGCTCAACCCTACTATGTGAGTTAGAATGAAGAGGAGATGGTATTATCTCTTCCTGGCTATTTCCCTGCCCACCATCTGTTTTATTATACTAATCAAGGTAGGAGCCACCTGAAGTAACGGGGCTCTTCTGGGGGGAAGGGACCGGGATATGCGGTTCAGATGGAATAGCTGTCTCCATTGTGCGTGGTAAGGATGTGTTTAAGGAAGGCAGGGTCTGGTTTCACAGTCTACCGATGAGACAGTATAGAAATGAAGAGAAAAATACCATAGGAATGGAAGGAAACCATTCATCTTGGCATCTAGTTGGCCTTTCCTGCTGCTTGGGAGTCAAGAAACTTCAACACAACTCAGAAGGTCAAAATTTCCAATAAAGACCGTGTGTGTTTCCTAAAGACAACTCAAACAAGAATGTTAAAACAACAAAAGAGCAGGAGAGATGGCTCCGTGCTCGAGTGCCCAGTGCTCTTGCAGAGGACCCGTGTTACCAGTAATGACCTCTAAGAGTAGCTCTACCTTGAGAAGCCTTGGGATTGTGCACTGTCCTCTCTCCTAATAAGCATTTCTGTGTTAGTTTGCCTTCCACTGCTGTGATAAAACACCATGACCAAAAGCAACGTGAGGAGGAAAGGGTGTTTGGCTCATTCATCCCAATCATAGGGCAGAGGGAAGGAAATTGGGGCAGGAGCTCAAGGCAGGAATCTAGAGTCAGGAACTGGAGCAGAGGCCACAGAAGAGCACTGTTCACTGGCTTGCTTTTAGACTCACATTCAGCTATGTTTCCTGAACCACCCAGGATTATCAGTCTGGGTCCTCCCACATCAATCAATCAAAAAAAAAAAAAAAAAATGTTGGCACAGGCTTGCTTACAGGCCAGTTCAATAGAGGCTTTCTCATCATTGATGTATCTTCTTCCCAGCCCACCCTGGCTTGTGTCAAGCTGACGTAATAACTAGCCAGGACTCCATCTGAACAATAAATCCACTACCTTTGTTTTACACTGGCTCACTATGAAATTCTCTTCTGTCCTGAAGTCAAAATCATGGCTTAACCTGATTAGGGACCCTAAAGAGGTAAGGGACAGTGCAGGCTGCTGCTGGCTGCATCGGCTGTGTCTCCCTGCTGCGGCTGACACTGGCAGACTCTGAACCTCCAGAGGACTGAGTTTATAGGTAAGAACGAGCAGTTTTGTTCTTGAAAAAGTAAAATTGTAGGTAGGAACCTTGAACACACTCCTGGATTTTCAGAGGGATGGGTACAAAGGAAATAAAAGATGTCGGGATAGCAATGGCACACACCTTTAATCCAAACACTCCAGAGACAGAGGCGGGCAGATCTGCGAGTTTGAGACCAGCCTGGTCTACAGAGCTAGTTCTAGGACAGCCAGGGCTACACAGAGAAACCTTGTCTTGAAAAACAAAGAAAGAAAGACCAAAAAAAAAAAAAAAAAAAAATGAACTGCTTTGCCCCTGCCTCCCCTCCCCCCCCCCATCCCCACCCGCCCTTTGCCTCTATCTGTAAGACATGTGAGAAGAGGAGCTTTGAATCCCTGGCTGCCTATCTTGATTCTTGAGACCAGATTGATGCAGTTTAGGCTGGCCTAAAGCTCCTGATCCTACTTCGGCAGCTGAGTGCAGGGATTATAGCTGTGGGCCACCACACCTGGGTCCTTCCTTACATTTTAAAATCACATTCTTTCTCAAATTAGTTTATGACTGTTTCAGATTTATTGCTATTCATATTTCCAATCAACCGGGAGCCATATCGCCAGAGCTACTGAACTGTTCCTATTTCTCACCAGTGGCCTCTTGGGCTTAAATAGCACTGTGTTAGGACGTAAAGGTTTGAACGACCTTATGACTCTCTGACCCTTTGCCATTTCTTCTCCCACAGACACAGAGCCACAGATGGTGAATGGTCCTACAGAAGAACTGGCTTAGATAGTGCTCCTTTCCTGTTAGCTATGCCCTGGCTCCCGCCACCTGCACCCACTTCTTATTGCTCACCATCCGCTGTCTGTCTCTATGCTCTGACTTTCTTCTATCAGCCAGGCTGATCTCTTGCTTGAAGTGACCATCTCCTAAGGCCAGATAGCACCCAGAGGACAGCGGCTCTCCTTAAGCACCCCTAACTGTGTACTGTTTCCAAGAGCCCTCAGAGGCATTGGCAGGGTTGGATCCTAATGTGCTAACCTGGGACACTCCCGTCTCACCTTTGCACTAAAACAACCGCAGGTGCTAACCCAGGCCTAACTGAATTTTTGGTGCCCAACCCCCACCTCCAGTGAAGCCAAGGAGCAATTTCTTCCCCGGGCTTAACAGTCAGTCACACCAGAGAGCCTCGCCCAGAAAACTCATATTTGCCTGTGCAAGTTCCCTGGCTTGGAAGGTGGCCTCCAGGTCTAGTTTAAAGGAATGTCCATTGTCATCCAGGTACACTGGGCCTGTGGCTGACAGGTAGGACCAGCTCTACTCCAAGCTGTGGGGGGTTGGAACAAGCTAGGGACAGCAGTTCCTTCTCTTCATCCCAATACAGCCACATTGGGGATTAGGCCCTCATCATACAAACCAACAGGGAGGATGACCAATTGAGTTCACAACACTGTGCCTCATCCAACTCGATTAAATTCAAACCTCTAAGACAGGGGCAGGTACAGGTACATTTTTTTTTCACTGATTTATTTTTAAACTTTTATCTATTTTTTTATATGTATGGGTGTTTTGACTGCATGTATGTGTTCCATGTGCATTCAGTGCCCACAGAGGCTAGTAGCAGGTCCTGGGTCCCCTGGAACTAGAGTTACAGTTTTGAGTTACATTGTGGGTTCAGAGAACTGAACCCAGGTCTTCTGAAAGAGAAGTGTTAGTAACTTCTGACCATCTCTCTAGCCTCACCCTGGTGCTTCTTAAAGATCTTTCTAAGCTGGGCAAGGTGGTATGTAGCTGTACCCCAGTTACGGGAGAGGCTGAAGTCAGAGAATGAATCTTGAAGGTATTTGAGACCAGCTTGGGCAACATATAGAGACCTCGTCTTGGAAAGGGGTGAGGGGGAGACGAGAGAGGAGAGGCAGAAGAGAGTTTCAGTTTCTCCTCCCATAAGGCAGTAAGTATGAGAGAAGTAGGGTGCTCCATGACACACTCAGCACCTGCCAGGCAAGGTTAAGCATCATGACAGTTGCCACAGAAGTTTGCTGCTGCAGAAGGAGACAGATCCTGGAGGTAGAAGACCGAGGTTTGAAGACAGCAGCAGGGGGGATAAGGGTGTCGTGTGAGAAAGATTATCTGGTATGGAATTCAGAAAACAACCCTGAAAGAGGAGGGTACCTTCACACATTTAGGTGTTTTCTCCTTGTGCCTCAATAAAGAGACAGTTCCCTCACTGGGCATCAGGGGGCGCCAGGAGCCTGTGAACGGAAAATCACTCTGGCTGGAGAAGTGGGTTAAAAAGGACTGTTCCACCACACCCACCCACCTACAAGTCCTTCCTGTTGGCACCCTTTCATCTATGTTGCATCCAGAGCCTGTCTGCCTGTTCAGCTCCTTGGTATCGTTGCTTATGATGAGGCCTCCAAGACCACTCTCGAGTTTGTGGACTCTTGGGTAAGACTTGGGGTTCCAGGAGCTCAAACTACACTCATGATTACAGTGCAGTCAAAGGATACAGACCGAATCAACATAAGACAGTCTGCATAGCACAGAGTCCAGGAGACAGAGGCACATGCTCGCAGCTGTCTTCTCCCAGGAAAATCACACTAATGTCACATGCTTTCCCAGCAGCAACGTGTAACAAAGCAGATGAAATATTACCAACCAAGAAAATTCACCAAGCCTTGGCACTCAGGGGATTTTTTGGAGAGGGGTGTGTGTTGGGGTGGGGGGGTGGGGTTATGGTTAGTCACATAAGCACGTAAAGTTCAAGAAATGACCCTTTGGCTCCTCATCTCCAGACTTGTCAAAAATCTACTAGAACATCCTGGCCCCCAATCCCTGGTCATATTCAAACAGCCATTTATGATATAGTATACTGTTTTCATAAAAATCTTTATCAAGCATACAAAGTCCCTCTTATCAGGCAGAACATTGCAAGGGTTATCTCCCTGGAACCAACCAGGGACTAGAACTGAAGACCTTTGGACTAGGCTGCCCAAGATCTGCTGAGGTAACCCTTTACCATA